CTTCTGTACATCTGTTCTCAGAAGCAATAAAAAGAGGCCTGAGGTTAGAATAAACAAAAGTATTTCTAGATGATTCAGAATGTGCAAGCAAGAAGCCACTGATAGAAATGCAAGATAGAGCACCGAATCAAGAGTCTCACTTGAAGCAACTGTTCACATGCATTTTCTAAGATTTGAAATAGATCTCCCTGGGCCCTCTAGGAAGGTGCTTTCCCAGCTCATCCAAATATCCCCTCACTCCAGAGCCACTGCTGCTAGGGCAACATTCTTGCATCCAAGTATGTGTTCCCATCTGTCCTACTCAGGACTGTTGGGAAATGGAGTAGAAATTAAAAGTTTTATAAAATACAAACATTAAAGTTCTACAACTAGGAATGCCAAGGATCCACTACAAGGCCAAAGAAACACATAGTTATATACAAAAAGAGCAGTGGACCAATAGTAATTATGTAATTAGTCATTACATTCAAATCTAAGCTGTGTAACACCAGATACCACAATTAACTACTCTAGCCTGTTTCTTCATCCCCACAATGAAGAGATTATACTGTATCTAACTCATAGTACTTTGTAAGACAAAAATACATGCATCCTATTATTAATGGATATAACATTGTTTTCTTCTAGTGTTCATATTTATAAAATGATAAGGTTACCATCTGTTGGCTTCTGAGTTGGCAATGTGCTTTGGAAGGACATCATTGGTATCGTAAGTAACCTGCTTCCATTAAACAGAAAGGAGTTAAGAGACTAAAAGATTTAAGGCACCATGCACTAGATCAGATCCAAGCTCCTAGGTTTCAGGAGTCTTAAATGGGAAACCTACAGACCATCGCCATCATGCCAGATAGATCTTTTCTCCATTCCTAATTTAAAGGTAACCACATCTCACATAAAATACAACTGCCCCTTGTCTTCTATGTTTTCTATTTTCCTCGAAATTTTTCATTCTGTCCCTCAGAAGGTCTCTTTTATGTGGGCAGATACAAAAGCCTGAATCCAACATTAAAGGGCTGTTAAAAAGAGAGATTCAAATCATTTGGGATGTTCCAAAGGCCAGAACTAGGACTGATAGGATGACCTTCGAGAAAGGGTGACTTTCCAGCTTTGCATATTGAACATATATACACAAAGGGCTGCTGGCCAGGTACAAGGTCAGGGTTTTGAAACAAGAAACTCAGGGCTGGGGATTTAGCTCACTGATGTAAGCACCTGCCTGGAAAGGTCCCAACCTGCAAGGTCGTGAGTTCTATCACTGGTCCAAAAAAAAAAAAGGAATTGAAACAGGAAACTCTTCACCAATAAAATTCAGAGAATATCAGTACTGTAGCTTGACTGATCCTCCTGTTTTAATAAAAAATAAGTTGTTTTATTCAATACTTATGCTCTCTACATGCTAGGCACTAGGAATACAAGCATGAGTAAGATACAGCTCTCAGCCCTTAGGGCTCATAATGGGGAGATAAATAGACAAGCAGATAATTACAAAACAATGTTAAGTGCAAAACCAGAGAAAATACTACAGAAATACTGAAAAGGTGGACCTCACTTGAGGGATCTCATTCAGGTGCAGAATTCTCTCTTGAGCAGGAGGCCCTCATCCATAGTCTTAAAGAATGGACTGGGAGGAGAAAGTAAAAAGCCTGAGGGAGAAAGCAGAAACAGCACTCAGGGCAAAGGGAATCAGCAGAAGGAAAGAAACAGACCCGACAAAGTGGGCAGCTCCTGGGACTGGGGATTTAGCTCAGCGGCATAAGCGCCTGTCTTGCAAGTACGTGGTCCTGAGTTTGATCCCTGGTACTGAGAAAAAGAAAAAAAAAAAAAACAAAACAACCCAGCAAAGTGGGCAGCTCGTGAGGTACTACACAGAGCTTGATACTGCTGAGGACAGAGCACAGTGAGAAATGGGGCTGGAAGGGAGCCAGGAGCTGGGCCATGCATGGCCTGTGTAAACTGCATTCTGCAGTTTGAACTTTGGTCAACACCTTAAAGGTTTTAAGCACAAACCTGACTTGGTCTGAGATCTTCAGTGTAGAAGTGTTTTTGCAAAGGGCATCATAAAACCAGTCTGAGAGTTGCTGAACTGGGCTGTGTGAATGGAGTGTTTGCACAGCCTTGTCTTCCTCACTGTGGAGGTTGAGCATTGAGCTTCTTTACTCCCTTTCTCTTCCTCCCCTTTCTGCTGGGCTCTGGGTAGGGTGACTAGGCACAGAGCAACTTTGGCATCAAGAACTGCTTGGAGGCAGCTAGAAGTACACACTGAGCCCCGAGCATCACTTTGAGTGGAGACCTTGGCAGGCCCCAGAAAGGAGAGGGAGGTCAGGTTTGCTGCAGTGTGCTCTGGAACCTGCCAGTATCTCCTGTCACCTCTGTCTTCCCTCTCTCCTTCCCTCCCTCCTAATATTCTTTATCTGTGGGCTAACTTGATCTAAGATTGTAGGTGAAGACAGCACAAGGGAGGCTGTTGTCTACCTTGCAAGGAAAAGCATCCTTCAGTTCTCAGTCCTGGTGACTACTAATTTCTGCAATAGAGCGGGCACTGCAGCCTCCTCTACTTTCCAGAACTGCTGAATATCTCATCTCTCAAGCTGGTATTTGGAGCTACTTTGCTCTCCTGCTCCGTCCTTTTTGATGTCCCAGTTCCTTCCCTCATGACCCCACCCAAGTTCTCCATTGCCTTTATAACTTAGCTCTCATCATTTCTCTGGCAAATCATACCTCCTTATGACTCAGTAGCTGCATAAATGGTTCTACTTCCCTAAGTCTTCTTTGATGACTCCTTCTAACCTGACCCCTCCCTACATCATTCACCTTTATTCTGAGCTCCTGAGTACTGGTTCACTTGTTCCAACCACTCCCTACTGATCCCTGGATCTGCCAGCCTATCTCACTTGTAAGCTATTCCTGCTTCCTCTGCTTGGAACTTTTTAACTCCATCTTACTCTTTCAGGCACACACAAATGCCACCCTGATCTCAAGGCATCCTGTCATCCCTTAAAGACAGATGAAATCTAATATAACTTTGTTTATCTCTATTAAATTCTGTTTTTCTCTTGGGTGTGGTGGTGCATGCCTTATAATCCCAGCACTCTGGGAGACTGAGGAAAAAGACTGCAAATTGGAGCCCAGCGTGGACAATTTAGCAAAACCCTGTCTCTAAACAAAATTAAAAGGATTTCGGGAGACAGCTCATTGTAAAGGCCCTGAGTTTAATCCCCAAATACAGCAAAAATAAATAGACAAACAAATAAATAAAATTATGCTTTTTTCTGCTTGTACTGCAGCAATTGCAAGAACTTGTATGTCAGCTACCTCTCTGAGAATTTCATATATAGTAACTCATTTACCCCTCACAATCACTGTAACTTATTTGCAAGTTAGCCTGGCCAAGTTTACAGTCAGTCACACAGGAGGACCTGGAATGTGATCCCACACACCAAGGCTCTAATTCAAAGCAGGCCACCTCTCCACCCAGCAAACTCCACCTGCAGATACAGAGCCCTCCAGTTTTGGAGCTCCACTTAGCCGCTGTCCAGAATACAGCAGGTGGTTACTAAATACACTCTGAATGATATGATACGCGTTCAGCAAGCACTTCCATGACTTCATGTGTACATTGTCTCCTCAGCTGTGCATGAGATCCTCAGGAATAAAGACTAAGCCATTCATTTTCTTCCAAGGCCCACAATCACAATGCGTAACAAGGAGCTACAGAACACAGGGTACTGTTAGCTCAATTGGAAGGGAACTAATTTTAGAAATGTTTTGACTATGTACAGTTCAGTCTGCTTTAACATGGCTGATCTCACAGGTCCCGACATAAACAGGTAAAGTAGGTGGAGGGAAATGGTAAAAGTAAGGAAACTAGGGCCAAACTGCTGGAGACTTGGCTAAGGGCTCAGAACTATACACACCTGAATAACATCACAACCCACGGGCTCTGACTGAAGCACTTAAAAGCCAGTCTGCTGTTCACCACCGGTGCTGCAGAGTCGCTGTAGCCAAGGAAACCAGTGACTGTAGCACAGCTCCCTCTCCAGCAGCAGCAGGAGTGGGAGGCTGGTGAGAGGTCACAGGGAGCAGGGATGGGTGTTGTGGAGAAGAAGGGGGCTGAGCAGAGGTAGCTGGGATGTGTTAAGAGCAGGCCAGCAGGTTCTGCAAGGTTTCTGGGGGCCTCTGGTTTGGTCACTGTCACCAGACACAACATCAGGAGAGGTGACATGATTCCCGAACAGTCTGATAGAATGCCTAGTGAGAAAAACTGGTTTGTCTTTCCTATGGGCTGAAGATAGTGGCTGTTTCCCAACCATTTTATTGCACTTCTAAAAATGTATACCTTTATTTCATTGTTCTAACTCAGTACCACTTCAGATCAAATTTCCTCACTGCCTCACTGTGTAGAAGGAAGGATTTCTGTGCTAGGTTAGGATCCGCAGAAAGGTATGTTTCGCTACAGAAAGCGCAATGACTTCCCAACCAAAACAACTCTTCCATTTTATTAGCTGGGAGGTCTTCCAAAACTCTTCACCCCGCTGAGTCTGTATCTTCCCTTCTCTAAAATGAGCATGAAAATGCCCATCCATCCCGAAATGAATGCAGTAGCAATACTTGTGCCCAGGCCTGTACGCGCCCATCCTAGGCTTTCCGCGGATTTGCAAAGGCTCCAGCTCCTGGGTCTCACGTTCTTTACTACTCACGAAACAAACAAGACGCTGCGATATCTGCGTCAAATTGCAGGGAAAGCCATCTCCGCAGGGGACCTCCCGCCCTTGCGCCTTAACTGAGGCTGTCAGACGGCCAAGCCCTTATGGTTGCTTGGACGCGGAGCTAGACAAGCCGCAACTCCCAAGGGCAGTAGGGTGGGTGGGAGACCTTGTTTCCCAGGGCGCTGCAGGTGTGAGGACCGCCTTTCCCTGCACTGTCCCGGGCTGGGCTGCACAGAGCCCCTAGAAACCTGGCCCAGCGTCCAGCCCCGCGCCGCACCCGGCTCGGCTGCCTACCTGCGGCTCCACCAGCCAGCGCTGCTCGGCGCGGCGGGACGGGGCGCGCGCGGCGCGGAACGCGGAGAACAGCGGGATGCGGTCCCCGGGGCTGTACAGGGTGGCGAAGCGCGCGGCGCCCTCGAAGCGCTGACAGATCTTCACGTGGGAGGCGGTCGCCAGCCCCGCAGGAGGGGTCTCGGCGTAGAAGAACTTGTCGCATTCCCCAAAGCCGGCTTCCCCGTCGCCCACAAGCCGGCCTTCTAGCAGCCAGGCCAGGGCCAGGAGGCTGCCCAGCGCGAGCCAGCGCGCGGTGCCCATGGCGGCCTCTGCGAGCGGCGGGGCGGCCGCGGCGCGGGCTTTGGGCTGGGCGGGAGCGCGCCGCGCTGCCTCGCCGGGCCGGCAGGGGAAGTCCGAGCCCTGCCCCGCGGCCTAGGCGGCGGGGGCGGGTCCGGGCGCGGGCTCCACCCCAAGGCCGCACCCCTTCTCTACTTCCCCGCCTGAAGATGGCCGCGGAGCCAGGCCCGGCGCTCCCGGGTACCCCCGAGCCTGGACACGCTGGTCACCAGCTGCCTGGGCTCATCAGTCCCGCGGGCACGCGCGGATGCGGCCTGGCCTGAAGGGACGTCTGGGTGCAGAGGCTCCGGATCTGGGGGTGCCGAGATGCTGGCGGAACTGTGGCTCTGTGCAGCGGCTGGCCAGAGACCTCCTCCCCTGAAATCTCAGGATACCCAAGCTAAGAAACCCTGTTTACAGGAAGTTCCTAACGTAGACAGGCAGTGCAGCCCTGCTGGGGTTTACTTGGAGCAAGGGTGAGAAACAGGCTGACACCGAGGAAGGAAGGAGACCAGCGTCCACACTGCCTGGTTGGTTGGTTGGTTGATTCGTTCCTGCATTTATTTCTCTGAATGCTTCTGTGCCAGCCGGAGTTAGGCGCAGGGTTACTGCAGTGGTAAACAAGAGCAGGGTTCCTGCGGTCATGAAGACAATAGCTTAGTGGAAAAGCTTGTCTTTAGCTAGAGATGAGTGTTACTAAATGAGTCATTAAAAACTGAGCATGACCTGTGGGAACTTGATCCCTACACAGGTTTAGAAAGTAGTGTGAGACAGTTACCCTGAAAAAAGTGGCATTTGAGCGGAAACGTGGAGAGTGACATTAACCAGGAACGAGAAAAGGAATATGCACTAAGGGGTCCTTTCTCAGAAGGCAACTGCAGTTTGGAAAGGATGTTATAAAAAGTGTTGGGAGTTTTCAGACCAGGCGTGGTGGCTCACGCCTGTAATCCCAGCACTCAGGAGACTGAGGTGGGAGTATTCTTGGGAGTTTGAGACTAGCCTGGGCTACAAAGTGAGCTCAAGACCAGCTTGAATTGCATAGCGAGACCCCGTCTCAAAAAAAAGAAGTGTTGGAGTTTTCTAATCTTTCAGTGAGAGTGGCAGAAACACATTCAATGTCTCTGAGCAGAAACGTGGGTTGGAGTGGTTCAGAATGACTGAAAAAAATTGCAGTAAACCAATGAGAGGTGGGCATTTAGGTAAAGTGGTGGCAATAGAGCCAGGACACCTACTGAGGGCCAGGAGCCCTCTCTGCCATCTTATCATTTGATCTCGTTTCACCACTGGGTCACTTGGGAGCTGAGGACCAGAGCATGTCAATGCTTGTTTGAGATGACAAATCTGAGCCAGATTTAAACAGGTCCCTCTGATCTCCAAACCTGGCCTTTCCTCTAAATCTAATTTGCAATACAAGACTATAAAGTAGGAGACTAGCTGGCAGGGGAACACACTTTGAACTTAGGAGCACATTCCTTGCAGGTTTCAGTCCTGAAAATATTGACTAGTCCCTGATAGGATTTTTTTTTTTTTTTTTTTTTTTTTGAGAATGGAACCCAGAGGCACTCTGCAACTAAGCTAATTCTTAGCCCTTTTTAAATTTTCCCATATTTTAATATTTGCAACAGGGTCTTGGTAAATTTCTTGGGCTGGCCTTGAGTTTGAGATACTCCTGTTTCAGCCTCCTTATTAGTGATGATTACAGGCATGTACCACCTACCTGGCCTAAATTTATATATACTTTAAAAAACTAACCACACACACATTTAGTCTGATGTCGTGGAAGAGACCAGACTTCGCATCCCTTTGATCTGGAGTGATGATCCTGGTCACCTAATGCCTTAGTTAAGTCATCTCATTTTTGGAGGAGTATCACGTCCTCATTGTGAAGATGTCTCTCCTGGAGTACTGAAAGTATTTTACAGTTTACAGGATTTTTAAAAAACATTTTCACTATTTTATAAGAATATAGGTATTTCCCAATGTCAATTCATGGTATCACCCAGTCATAACTGTATAAACACAATTGAACAACTGGACACTGATCTCTCACTGTGCTCTTTGATCATGTATCTGTGGTACTTATAACATTAAGGTATTAATGACTTTTGCCTTTCTTCCCCACTAGATTTTGTACTCTTAGGTGCAAAGTAGTATTTCCTTAATTTCTAGATCAGTGGCTACAGATGTCAGAAATCATAGCTATACTGTATTCTGGAAAATACAACTCAAAAAATTACTGGCCCAAGTATTCAGAGGACTTTGATTCACTGTTTCTCAGAATTTTTCAGTCCTTGCCGTTACTCTGACAAGCATAAGGATCTCTTCCCCACACCCAGTGTGGTAGATTTGAGGTTTCCCCCAGCCCTGTCAGTGGTTGACCAACACATGCACAGAACATGTATGCATCGCATGGGTGATTTTGCCTGATTTCTTTTCTTTGTTCATGTCATAAGACAATAGAGATTATTTTTGTATGCTTGTCTTTGAAAGATAAACTTCTAATTTTGCATTTACTTTTGCAAATTACAAATGTCTATTGTCCAGGATTCTGAAATAAATTACAGGCTAAGAGAAATTTGATCTCATTAAAATATTTGCTAACTTCTAGTTCCAAGGAGAGAACATCTTTAGCAACATTTTCATGTGCAATACACATATGTCCCTTGGTTAGTCACTATTCTCTCTTGACTAGGTCACTTTGAGTTTCTTTTTTTGTCCACTGATTGCCTTCTCACCAGAAAGGAAGTTTCCAACTAGGACCTCTTAGGTTCCACACTCATACTCGTCAATCCAAGTGTCTGCTGATACCCTTCAGCAAAGGCTTAGAGAAGGAAAACAGTGGCTGAGGTGAAATAAAATGGTATTTCATGCACACTTGTGTGGTTTGGTTGATTCTGTCCCAAGTTGTTGAAAAACATGAACCTGCCTAGACGGTTCTTCACTGTCCCATGTCTGCTGATGACTGTGCCTTCTATCAGCATGTGGAATTTAGCTCTTCTGCTTGGGTTTATTGTACTGCCTTTGCACTCCACACTTTAGCTGGATGGCTGTTTAACATATGTCTGATGGAATCATTTTACTCTCACATCCTCCAGTCACTTTCCTTCACCTTACAGTGAAGCCCAGCTCCCGGCTGATCACAAGACCACTGACATCTATCCTTCCCCCTTAGGTCTCCTCTCTTACCACTCCCACTCAGCCTGCAATCCATAATTGGCATTCAGCTTCTTGCAATTCCACAAATGTGCAATTCTTCCTCTTATTCTTGAGCAAGATCCAGGGCAAGATGAGCACAGACTTCGGCTTCACAGAACTTGAAGTATGGCAGGAAAGATAGGGAACTTCCTCCTTGGTCTGGATTCTCCCCGACCATCCCTATGCCTTACCCCTTTCACCTAGCCTTTTTATTTTATTTTGTACAATCTGGCTAATCATCAAATTCTCAAGTGACCCCTTCTTTCTCTCCCCACACTGCCTCCTGCCCTGCATCTGGTTAAGAGCCCCATCTAACTGCGCCTATTAATCCCAGAAGCTCACCTGTATCATAACTGTTACCTTCTCCCTTAGACAGAAATATTTTGCTTGCTGTAGAGGCACACTCCAATTTAGCGAGATGAAAGGAAGGAAGGAAAGAAGGAAGGTAGGAAGGGCTCTTCCTCTATGAAGCTTCATTTGTTTTCTTGTTCTAATTCATTCATGCATTTTCAGAATGTACTTTTAAACATCTACCATGAGTCAGCAACTGTGCTAGATTCTGAGTCTTCAGGGGAAGAAGGTTTAACCTGGCTGCTGATCTTGTAGCACTCATGCAGAAGATCTCAGTGTTATGTAGGCAAGCAGAAGAGAAACAAGCATGGCGGTCTCTAAGCTGTTCTGCCTGTTGACTCAGTCCCTGGAGGCCATCTTCTTTTCCACTGACCTCTCCTCACAGGGAGGAAGTTTCAAACTAAATCCAGGGCGGAGCAATGCAGAGGAATCTTCTTGCACCAGCAGTTCTGCATCACTGACTTCATGCTGTATTTAGCTCCATTCCAGGGCAAGATCAGCACAGACCTTGGCATCACAGAACTTGAATTATGGCAGGAAGATTAGGGGAACAATTACAACACAGTCAGGGAAATGCTCTCAGTGTAGAACTACAGTGTGTTAGAGAACTGAGAAGGATTCCCAGCTCAGGAAAGACAATGGGAATGGTGGAAAATCATACTTAACTGTGAGATATAATGAAACAGCTTACAAAGTAAATCGTATTTAATTCCAGGAACTTGAAGCTATGTCTTTGACTTTCCTCTCTGTAGAGTCTTTGGTATTGTTAGTTTTTCTATCACAGTGACAGAAACTGATATAAATAGATGAAGAGAACAGTTTATAATGGGTCATGGTTTCAGAAGTTTCAGCCCATGTTTGACTGAACCCATGCTGTATGCCCAACGTGAGGCAAAACCACATGGCAGAATGGCATGGAGGAGGAAAGTCATTCATTACAAAGAAGTGATGGAGGAGAGAGAAAAAGAAACACTCTACAACTCCCAGGGAACTACTTCCTCCAACTAGATCCTAACTGCTAATAGCTCATTTAGTGGATTAAACCTATGATGAGGTTAGTGTGTTCACAATCCAACCACCTCTCTAGGATCTCTTAATCCAGTCAAATTGATGAGATCAATGTCACAGGTACTTATAAAGAATTGACAAGCAATGTGGAAACTAACCCGATCTGGCTTTCTAGAAGGGGCAAAGAACCTGAAAATTAGATCTTAGTTGAGTGAGAATTCCTGATTATTCTCTTAGTAATTGTCAAACCTATGAATCCGCTTGACTCACCACAGAGATGGAAAACAAAAAGAGATTTACTATATGAAGAAAGTTATTTATATGTAAGGAGCAGAATGTTCAATTGTGCTTACCCGAAATGGTGGGCAAAGTTGTAATCTAGCAAAGTTAGAAATCGGATGATGTTTAAAAGTGGTATTTGTATCTCACATGACAAGAGCAGTAAAAAAAAAAAAAGTGGTATTTGTTGCTTACTGGGTATAGGGGTTCTAATTTGCCAAATGAAACAGTTCCTGAGGTCTGTTTCAAA